ACAGGGCTGGTAGAGCCCCTGTCACCACCAGCAGGTTTGTCACATCCCCCTGGGTCCTTTGGTGTGACTGGCCTCACCTCAGAGTAGGGTTTAAATCATGATTCGCTTCTGTGAGCACAAGTGTCCCCAGGCCAATGCTGGTACCTGCCTCACCCCACCACCAACGTCACAGGTGTCCCAAGCCAGGATTCCCATCGGGATGAAGACCTTGCCCTGAGGGTGGTGTGGGTGCAGGATGAGTGTGGGAGCTGCTGTTTGTTGCCCACAGTCAGCAGAATGTTCCTGTGGCTCCCTGCCAGCTCTGCCATGCTCAGTGAGGGGAGCAGAATGAGCAGACAGGGTGTGATTGTATTGCCACACCGAGGAATGAGGCATGAGAAAACGCAAGAGCTGCTGCTACCTGGAAGAGAGATGCTGAAAAGCTAATGTGGGAAACTCCAGAGGCTGGAGTTTGTCATGGAGATGGAGCTCAAGCAATTCCTGGTGGCTTGGGACTTTGGCTCTGCTCAGACATAAAAATATTCTTCTGTCTGAGTAAAACAAGCCCTGAGGTGTGTCTGTCTGTCCTTCCTCTGCCTGCCAGAGTGACCCTGGTCACACCTCTGCAGCTGGGGGAGATTCACAGGGAGAGCCTTGGTCTCACACAGCTCTGGACAAGGGAACCCCCAGATCTGCTCTTGTCACCATTGTCATTGTGACCATTGTCACCAGGCTGGACTGTATGGGCTGGGATGTCACCAGAGGCAGCCCTCAGGGAGCCAGACTGCTCAGCACTGGGCTTGCTGGAGTGAGTCCCTCCTCCCCAGGCAGAGGCAGGAGGGCTGAGCCAGCCCTCGGAGCCTGGAGCGGTGATCACAATTTGTTCAGGATCCTCCTGGCTAAGATGTGCCAGCACAGAGGCCGTGCTCAGCCTGGGCTGGGCTGTCACCATGCCTGGTGGCCACGGGGATGAACAACTGCACAGGGACTGGGGGGAAGAGCTTCAACAACTGTGGAGAGACCATCTGGTGCCAGATGGGCCCATGATCCCTGAATGCAGCAGAGAGATCCCATTGCCCCACGCTGCCTGGCACTTGGGTGAGCAGCAGAGCTGTGGGCTGGCTGTGTCAGCAGTGCTGATTCCCTGGGAGTCACTCTGAGGGATCCCCTTGGCACACCCTGTGCCAAAACAGGCAGCGAGGGGCTCTGCTGGGGAGCAGGTCTGTGCCCTCATGGCCCTCGCTGCTGGAGGTGGCTCACGAAGCATCAGTGACACAGGGCTGGGACCTCACCTGATGCTCTGCAAACCACTCAGGAGCTGGGCCAAACAGAGGAACATCACCCTGTTCCACATTCACAGGAGAGCTCATCAGTAGCCCAGAGTGGCCCTGATGGGGCTGCCAGTGGGGCAGGTGGAGGGTCCCAGTGGCACAGCAATATCTGACTTCATTGCTCCAGTTTGGAGCCTGGAGAGGGACAATAGAGTCCCTCCCCTTGTCCTTCTCTTCTCCCTGCTGCCTCCTTTACCTCCTCTTCCCCTCTGCAGCAGCCGGGCCGGGCTGTGCTGTCCATCTCAGTGTCCTGGTGTGGGCAGGAGGGATTAAAGGGGGTGGCATCACCCCTGAGCCCCGCCCTGCAGCTCGGGCAGCCAGGCTGGGCTCGCTGGCTGATGGCAATGTGCCCCGGGCAGCGCAGAGGGAGTTTCCATTGCACACACAGGCACCCTTTCTTTCCTTTCATGGTAATAGCATCTGCGATGGCTTTTCCCAGATAATGTGGGGGGGCCGTCAGGACACGTCCTGGCAGATGGTAAAGAATCGACAGCTGAGATAGAAACAAAGACATCATGTGTCACTCCACACCTTGATATATTTGTTCCCTATTTTGTGTTTTTCGAACTCACAGAGCACAGCCGTCGGCCGGGGCAGAGCCTGTGCTGCCATTTCTCACACTCAGGAGCGTTCCTTTCCCAGGCCTGCAACCCCCAGCGAGTTCCCACCGAGCTGGGAATTGCTGTGGAAGGCACTGGGAGAAGCTGGCCCACAGGGGAAAGGCAATGACTCCTAATTAGCTCTTATTCATGACATTAGCAGCACAATTAGCTGCTATTGTTTGAGGTAAATGCAACACATTGACCGTGGCTGTGTCACAGCAGCCCTCCCCACTCTGGGCACTGCGGGTGCAGCGTGGTCACCCCAACAGGTAATGTCACCTCCCCTCCAATGCAAACCAAGGAGTTCAGTCCTTTCCTCCCCACTGCAGCACACGAGGCAGAGATAGCATCTCCAGCGTGCTTCTTGCTGGAACAGACTCAGATACCATCTCCTGATGTGTTCCTTTTCTCTTTTATCTCAAGGGAATTTGTTGTGGGTGAGTGCTTCAGGAAGGCCTGGGAGATTGAATTCTTCTGGTAACATGAAATAGCTGAAGCAGGACTGCTCCTCTGTGCCCTGATGTCCCACCAGCAGCCAGCCCAGGGGAGCTCTGTGCTGGGGTTCCTGATGTCAGAGTGGGGCTGGGCTGGGGTTGTTGCTCAGGAGCTCAGCCAGGGCCAGGGCAGCAGCTGAGCACTGGTCAGAAAAGACCCGGGAAAAGCTGATACTGCAGGACAAATTCCAGATTGTCTGTCTGACATCTGCCACGCATGGTAAAAGAACTGAAACCCGGGCTGAGGTTCATAATATTCAAGAAAAGCTGTGAAGAGGCCAGGTGTCCCCTTCCTGCGGGCTGTGGAAGGGCTTTGCCTCCTGCGAGGGCAGTTGTCACCTTCAGGCTGACTCAAAACTTGGCCTGAAATGTGAGGGTGACCTGAGGGGGGTCAGACCTCCCAGCACAGGTTTAAACCCATGTGGGAGGCTCAGGGAGGGAATTGCCTGGAGCAGGAGGGTGTTTGCTGGAGCAAACATGAGCAAAGTGAGCACGTTTGGAAGAGCTGGGAGCAGGGGTGGCCCAGGATGGCTCTGGAGCACAAATCTCACACGAAGGCTGTTGGGCAATCCTGTACCCCCCACTGCAGAGGGAAACGGGCCAGGAACAGCTGATCAACACTCAGGATGCTGCTGGGAGCTGAGCTCTGTCCTCTGCCCACTCTGCCCTTTGCCAGTGCTGGGTTGTGCCCAGGTCCCCTCCTTCCCCAGCTCTCTGAGGGATGGGGAACATGTGCATTCCAAACTCCCAGTTTTTGCAGCTTGAGGAGTCAGAATTCCAAATCTGAAGCCCATGGGCATGAGGCAGTGCTGCCCAGGGAGCAGAGCCCTTGAATGAGAGGAGCTGTTTCCTTGGTGGCTGCCCAGAAAGTCACCCCACAGCCCTGGAGCTGCTAAAGGGAGCGTGACTGCTGTGAAGTCCTGAGATCCAACGGGAGCCAGATAAAGCCTTGTTGTTACTGTGTCCTTCGGGGAACATGAAAGAAAGGAGGCACCATGAATTACCGAGGGTGAGGCTCTGGGAAGATCTGAGCACCTCCAAAATCAGTTAGTGCATTATAATGTGAAAACAGCCGGAGGGGGCTGGGAAGGAAGGAGATCACAACATGAGCGAGAACACAAAAGGGTTCCTAATCCCTATAACTCCTTCACTACCTCACAGGCATCTCTGAGAAAAGTTAAAATAACTTCTTTTATTGAGAATGCCATGGCTGGAGCCAGGCAGGCCAGGCTGGGTGTGCGATTTTCTTGCGCACAACAAGAGCTGGTGTCACATCAGCAATGGGCTTTTATCCCAAGAAAGAATAAAACAGAGCAGTCCCATATTTCCTGCTTCTTTGCTGCTTTTTCCACGCCAATACCTGTCCAGCTGTGCTGCTGTAATCATTCTGCTCAGTCCTTCAGCAGCCTGGGGCAGGTGTGGCCAGCACTGTCCCTCCCCTCCGTGCTGGGTGGTGAAACCCTCGGTGTTTGCAGGCTCCTCACCCCCAGTGCTGGGTGTGTTGGACACTTTTGATAGAGGTGATGCTGCTCCTGCTACCACTGGCATCGCTGTCTTCAGCTGCAAATCTGTAGGAAAAAGCCTAGAGCACAAACACTGATAAGGATTGATCACACTCTTCCTACTGATAAGGATTTATCCTACTCTTCCCATTGATAAGGATTGATTCTTCTCTTCCCATCAGGAATGGCAGTAACGTGCTCTGGCTGTGTCTGGTAGAGTTTCAGTCCCCCTCCTCTGATTTAGAATGTTTAAGCATTAAACCCTGCCTCAGTGTTGAGAGAGCAGAAATTGTGGCACAGGATTTTTTAGCTTCTACAAATTTTTTTAGAAGTTACAGGCAGTTTATGTGGGATTTGGGGAAGGTGATGGAGCATAGCAGGTACTGCTGGGAAACATTACTCATCTGCCCTTTAAAGTGACTGAAAACCCACCACTGGAGGGACTTTCCAGTCTCCGTAGGGAGATTCAGCCCAGGCTGGTACATAAGCAGAAATTGCTGGAGTTTATTCTCTTTTGGGCTATAAGATTTCTGCCAAATCCCGTATCAGTACACAAATCCTGCCAGGTCTGTGCTTGTCCTGCAATAAAGGTCCTGGCAGGAAAGTTTCCATCCGGCTTTGGCTTGGACCATGCAAAGATTATGGATGTGCAGAGCTCTTAAGTGGCAGCTTTCTTTGGCTTTAAACTCTTTATAAAACAAATAAACAGATTTGTAGATGTTTGCAATGATATTTGCAGGTGACTTGGCGGATAACAGAGGATTCACTTGTGTTAATCATGAGGGAGCAGCGGGTGGAGCAGGAATGGACACCGGGAATGCCAGAACACAGCCGGGAGCTGGGACCTGGACCACGCCAGCTGCTGGGAATCAAAGAGGAAGAAGGTGCCATGTGAGCCGATGGATGTGACAAAAGATGTGAAATCAAGGAGAGGAAAATGATGATTCTGGAATTTGGCTTTGGCTGTCAGGGGTGTCGAAAGGCGTCGGCAACGCCTCCTGGCCGGGCTATAAAGAGCCCCGAGGCAGGGGAGCGAGCACTCGCTGCTGCTGCTGCTGCTGCGCCGCCGAGCCGCCCGCGCCCGCACGTCCAGCCTCCAGCATGAGCACCACAGTCAGGCAATACTCCTCCTCCACGTCCCTCAAGGGCTTCGGCAGCCTGGGGGGAGGCTCCAGCAGGCTCTCCTCCGTGCGTGTCGGGGGAGGAGGGTACCGGGCCCCCAGCGTGCACGGGGGCTCCGGCAGCTACTCCGTCTCCTCGCGCGTGGTCTCGGGGCTCGGCAGCGGCTTCGGGGGCAGCTACTGCAGCAGCGCAGGAGGGGGCTTCGGGGGCAGCTATGGGGCCGGCTTTGGGGCCGGCTTTGGAGGAGGTTTTGGAGGGTTTGGAGGCGGTGACGGCATCCTGCCGGCGGGGGAGAAGGAGACCATGCAGAACCTCAACGACCGCCTGGCCGCCTACCTGGACAAGGTGCGAGCCCTGGAGGAGGCCAACACGGACCTGGAGGTGAAGATCAGGGAGTGGTACAAGAAGCAGGGACCTGGTCCCGAGCGTGACTACAGCCCCTACTACAGGACCATCGAGGAGCTCAGGAACAAGGTAGGATGCTGGGATTATCACAGTGGGATGTCGCGTGTCAGAGAGGAAGCAGAGACAATGACTGTTACCTCTGTAATTAGTCAGAGACAATGACTGTTACCTCTGTAATTATGTCGTAAAAAGTGTCCCAGTGGCATGTGTGGAGTGCCCGGCTGGGAATTAGAGATGTCTCAATGTCAGCTTTTGGTTACATCCTCCCGAGTGGAACAAGTGGCAGCTTTCACTGGCAGGAACAGATCTAAGAGGACGTAACACAAAAATGAAGAAAACAGGACAAGTCTGCACTGATCATGTGGGTTCTTGGGAGTTTAAAATTAAGGTGCAGGGAAATTTGCAGCTTTGGGCGAACTGTGAAACACTGATGTCATATTTGGAAACATTCAGGCAAAGAATTTGCAAACTTGTTTCAGCTCCTTCTGTTGAAGAGAGTTAGATGATAAAAGGTTGGAACTGACCAATAACGAGGTTTTTGCCTCTTTTGGTAATTACTGCCCTAGGGCTGGAATTGCTACGAAGTCCCCAGCCCAGGCAGCTCAAGGGGGATTCCTCTCTGTTTGATTTGAGTTCCAGCACACCATTTTGGAGGAAATGCTCGATTTTACATTGTTCTCTGTTACTTCCCATGTATGAATTGCCCCCAGGGATTCCAGGAGCTGTGGACAGCTGGAGCTGCAGGAGTGCTGGCAAAGGATGCAGGGAGCTCATTTTTCCCCCCCTCTCCTCAACAGAGTTCTCCTCCCAGTGTGGGTTATTTGCTCCTGCTTTGGTAATATGAAAATCAGAATCTGTAGGCACCTGCTCACTGCCTTTTGCTCCATTTCTGTTGCCAACCAATTAAATCCACCCCAGAACAAGGTGTGCCAAGCACAGACACCCCACTGGTCCCTCTGACCTTTCCACAAACAGCACCTGCCCTGGAGGACAGGAACAAAGGCCACCATCAGATCTCACACATCTTTTGTGGCCTCACTCTGCCTTTTGAATCACTTAGTGATGGATTTTTGGAAAGGGAGGTCATGGAGTCACCAGCAAGCAGTCTCAGCTGCATCTCACTTGTCCTGATTCCAGACACACTTCTGCTAAGGAAATGCCAAACTTCCCCAAAAGTGTTGTCCTGTCCCAACACTCAGCCAGGAGGAATTCCTGTGACACTCTTTTTTTCTTTCACTGCCCAGGTGTTGGTGGCCACAGTGGACAATTCCAACCTCCTACTGCAGATTGACAATGCCAGGCTGACAGCAGATGACTTCAGGACTAAGTAAGACACATTTCCTGGAAAAAATTGAGCAAAGATTGCAGGGAAGTTTGATGAAATGAGAAGAAAATCCCATCCAAACCCCAGAAAGGCAATGTGGAAGCAAAGCCTTCAAAATGAGGGTGCAATTTCCAAAGCAGATGGTTCTCTCAGCCTTACAGGCACCCAGGGATTATGTTGCTTCCATCCAAAACCACTATTTTATTCCTGTTGCTGGTTTATCTCTGGTACAGCCTGTTCAGAGACCTTGCCCTGTGCCTCACTGTGCCCTTAATGTGTGTGTGCAACTCCACAGAGCCCAGGGCCAGTACCAAGGCCTGGTGGTGCCAGGAGCAGGGTGGTGTTATGGACTCAGGTGGACACTTTATCAGTTTCCCCCCACTCTGTTCAGAATTCCCCTTAGGAAAATTGTCAATGAGGCCATGTAGCGCTGCCACAATGCCAACAGCAGTGTGTGGAGGCAGCAGGCAGCAAAGCCAGGTGCTGTGTGCCCAGCTGGCAGGGCTGGTGCAGCTTTGCTGACCCTGTGTGTGTGTGTGCCCAGGTTTGAGTCGGAGCAGGCTCTGCGCATGAGCGTGGAGGCCGACATCAACGGCCTGCGCCGCGTCCTGGATGAGCTGACCCTGTCCAGAGCCGACCTGGAGATGCAGATTGAGAACCTGAAGGAGGAGCTGGCTTATCTGAAGAAGAACCACGAGGAGGTGAGAACAGAGTTGGGCTCTGAAAAGGCCATCCCGGGCACTGAAATTTGAGTTGTGGTCCAGCCTTTAAGGCTATGCTGAGTTCTGAACTGCTGGGCAGGAGGTGAGGAGTGCTGGTGAGGCACTCTGGACAGCAGCACATCCTCCTGGAGCCTGTGGAACTCCCATTCACCACTTGCCACATCAGTAATACCCACTGTGGCTGTTAGAGGTTTATTAACCACCCTTGCAGCTTCTGGCTGGGAACGTCTGTTCCCTGAGAAATGAAGCAGCTACAGGCACTGCTTTATTCTCTGGAGAATTAACTCCAGTGGGGAGTTCACAAGAATTTGGATTATTTTATTTGTGGTCCTGGAGCAAATACCCCAATTTGCTCCCTTTTGACCAGCCCCCAAATGCTCGCTTTCCTGAAGAACTCTCTCTGAAGAGGAACATTTTATATGCTGGTTCTTGAACTGCATGATGATGTATTTCTCTTTTTGTGTCAGGAAATGACTGCCCTGCGTGGGCAGGTGGGTGGGGAGATCAGCGTGGAGATGGACGCTGCTCCTGGCATCGACCTGACCAAGATCCTGGCGGAGATGCGGGAGCAGTACGAGAGCCTGGCGGAGAAGAACCGCAGGGACGCCGAGCAGTGGTTCTTCAGCAAGGTGAGGAGCTGGTGCTGAGCACGGGGCCGGGGCCGTGGCTGCTGCCAGGGCTCTGAGGGCACGGCTTTGCCTCGCTGCAGACAGAAGAGCTGAACCGGGAGGTGGCCATCAACACGGAGCAGCTGCAGAGCGGCAAGACGGAGATCACGGAGCTGCGGCGCACGATCCAGAGCCTGGAGATCGACCTGCAGTCGCAGCTCAGCACGGTACGAGGGCTGGGCTGCTGGGATGGGGGCTGTGCCCACTGGGCTGCCCCCTGAGCCCATCCCGTGGGCTCATCCCTGTGCCCACCCCACAGAAAGCGGCGCTGGAGGGCACCCTGGCCGACACCGAGGCGCGCTACGGCGCGCAGCTGGCCCAGCTGCAGATGCTGATCACGGGCGTGGAGGAGCAGCTGGCCGAGCTGCGCTGCGACATGGAGCGCCAGAACCACGAGTACAGGGTCCTGCTGGACGTCAAGTGCCGCCTGGAGCAGGAGATCGCCACGTACCGCCGGCTGCTGGAGGGAGAGGACGCCCAGTGCGTGAGGGGCTTCGCTGGGAGGAAGGCTGGGAGGAGACGGGTCACAGCAAACAGAAAATGAACCACCTGCATCCCCTGGAGGGTTCTCTCAGTGCATTCCCTGACCCATTGCATGCAACGGGGTCTCTCTTTACAGTCCCACCAGTCCACAACAGCCCAGTGGTTGTAACAACCCTGCAGCATCCCTGGGTTCTGCCTGCCATCCTTCCATGTCTCTGTCATCCCAGGCAGGGAGCAGCTTCGTGGGTGTTGCACTGGTGTCTGAATTCTTGTGTCACACACCCATCCTTAACAGTTTCTTCCTTCAGTTGGGACACTGGCCATTTCCAGAAGCATTTGAATCATGTATTGGTACAAAATATAAAGGCAGGGTTTAAATGATGATTTCATCTTGGAGATTACTCACTTTTTCCTGTTTCTCACCTCCTTTTCCTTGTTCTCCTCCCACAGCATGTCTTCCCACTACATCTCGCAGCCTGTGAAAGAAGGTAAGAACAGGTTTTGGCTGAAGCTCTGATCATACACAGCTCTCATACCCTCACCCACCTTCTTAGCACAGACTCCTTTTACTTTTCTACTAAAGTTACTATTTGATTATATTTTGAAAATTTGAACTTATGTACAAAATTTTACGATATAACAAATTTATTACATAACAAGTATTATGATATACCAAAACGTGTCAGAAATTATCTGAACAGACTGAATCTGTACAATTTAGCAGTGGGAATGTGGTGCTATATTGGGTTTCTGATGTGATTATTGTAGTAACAAATCTCTAAGATCTTTAAGACACTTCCTCCTTGCTGCCCTGGAAGTAACAGTTCCTTCTTTCCCCACTGCAGGACCAGTAACCACCCGCCAGATCCGCACCATCTTCGAGGAGGTGCAGGATGGGAAGGTGATCTCCTCCCGGGAGCAGATCACCCAGGCTGCCCACTGAGGCACTGCCTGTTTTGCTGCAAGCCTCGCCCAGCACAGCAAAGCAGATCCCAGCTGATGTGCTCTTGCCATATGGATCACCAAAAGCACCTTCTCCCACTATCACCCCATTCCTTACCCTCTCTCACCCTTCTCTCAGCTCTGTGCCACACAGAAATCAAATAAAGCTTCTCTTTGCAGTCCTGCAAACCAAGGTCTGGTCTCGATGCTCTGGGGCTGTCCCACCCCTGCAGCTGTGGGTCAGAGCTCCTCCCTGGATGGAGAAACCTTCTCCATCCTTGGTACCCTGCTGGTGGGGCCTGCACACCCACACCCCTGTGACTCCTGAGACCTGGCAGCTTCAGGGGAGAGGGTGTAGGGGGAGTCTAGAAAGGAGCTGATCCCACAGGTCTTGGGAGATGAAGCCTGTAAGAATCCCTGTTTGGACAAAGCTCTGCTCCCCTGCTGCAATGCCAGCAACAGCAGTGCTGAAGCTTTAACCCAGAGAGGCCAAGCAAGTGAACTAAGCCCGAGTGATGCAGACAGGACCCTGCAAATGCCACGCCCCAGCTCTCCCCCAGCAGCTGCTCCCCATTCTGGATCCCAAACCTTGGGGTGAAATGGTCTGAAGCTGCAGGCAGGACAGGGATCTGTCAGGAGGGCTGCTGTCCCCCCAGACAGGCACACTCAGCTCAGCTGGGCTCCTGCTTCCAAAGGCACCACTGAAGGGTGAAGAAAACAGTGATGGGAAGAGGAGGGTATGGTCTGTGCAAGAGAAAGGATTAAAATTCTTCAGGGAGTTCGTGTGGCACTCCCCGGCTGCCGGTGGCTGCTCCTGACACAGCAGTTCCCACTGCCGTCAGCCGGCCCAGCGTTCCTGGAAAGCCAGTTCAGACACATTCTTGGCTGCTTTCTGACACATTTATTACTTTGTAAATCCAGCTTCTAACT